AGGAGCGGAACGAAGTACGGTCGGGGCCGCGCGGCGACGCTAGAAACAGCAGGAGCAGCACCAGCAGCCCCGGCAGGAGCACCCACTCCAGTGGCACCTCCAGCAGCACCACCAGAAGCTCCAGAACCTCCAGCAGCAGCACCAGGAGCACTGTCAGTCGGACCGCCAACGGCAAGCTCAGCGCCAACACCCTCAGCAGTACCAGCTCCAGGAGAACTCTCAGACCCAGCGGCTCCAGCACCCACAGTACGAGCACCGGCGGGACGCGCGGCAGCAGTACCCTCTGCAGCCGAAGAACCACCAGCACCCGCAGCACGTCTCCAGCGCCTGGCAAACCACTCACGCAGCTCCTGTGGGGAGAGTGGCTCCCGGCGAGACGAAGCACCCCCAGGCACAGCACCCCCAGGCTTAGCACCCTCAGGCTCAGCACCCCTAGGCACAGCACCCCCAGGCACAGCACCCCCAGGCTCGGCACCCCCAGGCACAGCACCCCCAGGCTCGGCACCTCCAGGCTCAGCACCCCCAGGCACAGCACCCCCAGACTCCGCACCCCCAGGCTCAGCTCCCCCAGGCACAGCACCCCCAGGCTCAGCACCCCCAGACTCCGCACCCCCAGGCTCAGCTCCCGCAGCAGCACCAGAGTCACCAGTGACCTCGACAGGCTCGACCGCGTCTACCTGGGACACACCTGAAGGGGCAGGACCCTGAGGGGGGAGGGGGACTACCGGGGGGGGACCTGGTACCAAGAAGAGCGGGGGTGGGGGGAGGGACGGAGTGCGGTAGGGGAAGAGGCGGTAGTAGGGTACCGACTCGTCGAACGTGACGTCCTGGGAGGACAGAACACGTCGAGAGGTGGGGTGGTAAAACTGCCACCCAGGGGCGTCGGGGGGGAACCCCAGGAAGACGCAGGGAGAAGCACGAGGGGACAGCTTGTCCGCAGACAGGTCGCGAACAAACGCCCGAGATCCCCAGACCCGGAACGCCGACGCATCGCCAACCTTCCCCGTCCACAGCAGGGCTGGGGAGGTCTCCGGTCGAGAGACCCTGGGGTGGAGGTTGATCTGGTGCGCAGCGTACCTGACCGCAAACGGCCACAGAAAATGGGGAGCAGCCGCATGCATCATGGACGTACGAGCGACGTCCATGACCATGCCAATGCGGCGCTCAGCAATCCCATTCTGCTGTGGTGAGTCCGGAAGCGTGAAGGTCTGACGGATGCCTCGCGCACGACAGTAGGCACTCAGGAGGCCAGAGGAGAACTCTCCGCCTCTGTCCGAGTGCAGGCGTAAAACAGGGAAGTCAGAGCCAAAGCTCCTCCGAAGCTGGAGACGAGCTGCGCGGATCCAGTCGATCAACACCTCAGTGACCTCACCCTTGCTGCGCAAGGGGAAGACTGTGGTGTAACGCGAGTAGTCGTCAACCACCAGCAGGAAGTAGCGCTCCTGACCCTGTCCACGGACGCGGGCTGGGCCCCACACGTCCATGTGAAGCGTCTGCAACGGGGCCTCTGTCGGAGGAAACTGGGAGGAGTGAGGGGCAGCACGCTGGCGCCCCTCGACACAGGGGACACAGGTAGGGCCAGGGCCCGGAGGAAGGGGAGGGAGAGACCGGGGAAGACCAGACACAAGGACTCGCGAGGTCATGCCCCTGAGTCGAGGCAGAGAGGGGTGGCCAAGGCGGTGGTGCCAAAGGAGGGTCTCGTGAGACAGACGACGACACGAGCAGGGGGCAGACTCAGGACCAGACCTGGACGCTGCAGCAAACACCTGACCAGACGAAGGGACCCTACCAGACTCAGCACCTGGAGGAGAAGCAGTGGTCAGTGTGTACAGGCTCGACCCTGGCCGACGTGTAAACGTAGCCAGGTGGCGACCTGTATCCGCCTCCGTGCAGTGAGTCACCCGCTGACGAGCAGGGGTGAACTGGTGGACACCCGCATCCTGGAGGTCAGCACCACTCACCAAGTTCGTAGAGAACGAGGGGAGGTAGAGACCAGTCAGGGTGCTAGAGGGGGCCGCCGGACACGGGAGGACAGTGGAGAAGCGAGACAGGACAGGCCCCCCAGAGGGGTCAGCCAGGGACACCGCAACCGGCCGACTCAGCGGCGTGAGAGTGGTGCGGTCCCTAAAGAAGGAGCGAGATGCTCCAGAGTCAAGGGTGAAGGTGTGAGAGGCCGAAGCCGACACAGTACCTGAGAGGGCAGACTCACCAGCACCTGAGAGCACAGACGCACTGGCACCTAGAGCAGCAGCCTCACTAGTACCTGACGCGGCAGTACCAATGCCCGGGTCGGGCGGGAAACACCGGTAACAGTCATCCTCATCACTAACCACAGCATACATAGCAGAGAGAATAGCATCAAAATCAAGATCATAAATAGCTACACCAGCCCTAGACAGCTCCCCCCAGCGGGGGATCTCAGCGGCCTCCGGAAACTGCTGACGCCAGGCGTCGGTCAGGCGGCCAAAGCAGCGGCGGGCTGTGTGGGCGCCTCCACACCTCTCCCCTGCACGGTCACCGGTGCGAAGAACATAGGGGCAGGGACCAAGCGCACCACCACGCTGACGCTGCAGGTACCACTCACGGAGCTGCTGAGGGGCGGGGACGGTGCGAGAGCGCTGCTGCTGCTGTGGCTGCTGCTGCTGCTGTTGCTGCTGCTGCTGCTGGCGCTGACCACCCCCAGAGCTGCTCCGCTGGGACGAGCCACTCCGACCCCCGCCTCCACCGCCACCCCCGCCTCCACCGCCACCCCCGTCTCCACCGCCACCTCCCCCACCAGGACCGTCGCTCCCACCGCTCCCACCGCCTCCTCCGCTACCACCGCCGCCGCCACCTCCGCCTCCACCGCCGCCACCAGTACCTCCACTCCCGCCACCACCCCCACCGCCACCCCCACTCCCCCCGCCACCCCCACCGCCTCCTCCACCGCCCCCTCTAGCTCCACCCGCTCCCTTGCCCCCCTTGCCCTTGCCAGAGCGGCGTCTGCCGCTGGGGGCAGACGCCGCGCCGACCGACTCAAAACCAGTGAGGTCGGCCGCAGCGGCAGAGGCGACAGAGGGCAGCAGGGGGGAAGGACCACACCCCTCAAAGATGGGGGTGCGAGGGTCACCCCGAGAGGCCCCTACAGCGACAATACTCTTCTCAGCCGCTAGCAGGGACTCCTCAAGGAGGTCGACAGTGAGAGTGGTGGGACAGACAGAGAGAAACTGGTCCCTAACGACACGAAGGGACTCAGGGAGACGGGTGACGAGAAAGTAGAGAGTGATGTACATGGGAGGAGGGTTCGCAGCGCGGAACTCAGCAGGAAGGGCAGCGCGGTAGCGGGTGTCACTAGCACGGAGGTGGGTAACGAGGTCAGCAACAGTGGGAAAGGAGGCGAGGTCAGGGAAGAGAAACGGTAGCATGAGGCGGCTAAGGGTAGCGGAGGAAGGGGAGGAGTAGCGTGCAACTACAGCGTCGTACAAGGCCTGAGCGGTCTTGCACTGACTAAAGTGGGCACGCTCAGAGGAAGGGAGGTGGCGACGCACAGCAAGACGTGCAGCAGCATCGCGGGTCGCCCACTTGGAGCGAACGGCAGAGTCAGCATCAGCAGGTGGGGCAGGGACAGCGCCAGAGACAAAGTCAAAGAGAGAGACCTCATCTATCGCATCACACAGTAAGTACAGCTGCAGGTCTTCAATCCAGATGGCAAAGTCAATGGCCCTCCCCTCAGCGTCAAAAGTAAGAACATTGGGGGTGGCCATGGCAGCAGCTGAAAGTCTCACCGGGCTGGGAGAGTCAGGTAGGTCAGCAGCAGAGGAACACAGCTCAGGAACAGCGGCACGGCTCGGGCGGCTCGGGTTGCTGGGGCGGCGCGGGCGGCTCGGGCGGCTCGGGCGGCTCGGGCGGCTCGGGCGGCTCGGGCGGCTGGGGCGGCTCGGGCGGCTCGCGCGGCTCGGTCGGCTCGGGCGGCTCGGGCGGCTCGGGTTGCTGGGGCGGCGCGGGCGGCTCGGGCGGCTCGGGCTGCTGGGCTGTACGGGCGGCTCGTGCGGCGCTGGTGTCGCGACGGGCGGCTCGCTGGCGGCTCGCGGGCGGCTGCACAGGCGGCTCAGGGACGGCGGCGCGGGCGGCTCAGGGAGCTCACGGGCGGCTGCGACGTGTGGCTCGCGGGCGTCGGGCGCTGGGGCGGGCGGCCGGCTGTCAGGGCGCTAGGGCGGGCGGCCGTCAGGGCGCTAGGGCGGGCTGCGCTCGGGCGCTAGGGCGGGCGGCCGTCAGGGCGCTAGGGCGAGTGGCGCACGGGCGCTAGGGCGGGCGGCCGTCAGGGCGCTAGGGCGAGCGGCGCTCGGGCGCTAGGGCGGGTGGCCGTCAGGGCTCTAGGGCGGGCGGCGCTCGGGCGCTAGGGCGGGCGGCGCTCGGGCGCTAGGGCGGGCGGCGCTCGGGCGCTAGGGCGGGCGGCGCTCGAGCGCTGGGGCGGGCGGCTGTCAGGGCGCTAGGGCGGGCGGCCGTCAGGGCGCTAGGGCGGGCGGCCGTCAGGGCGCTAGGGCGGGCGGCGTTCGGGCGCTAGAGCGGGCGGCCGTCAGGGCACTAGGGCGGGCGGCCGTAAGAGGAGTGAGCGGCGGGAGCGCGACGGTAGGGGCGACACGCAGGGTCGCTAAAAAAAAAGAACGCGCGCCTCGGGGCGCGCTTCGGTGGGCCCTAGGAACAGTCCCTAGGAGGGGACCTGCTCTGATTCCATGAGAAGAATTGAACGAGAATGAAATGAGTATGAACGAAGTGAGTACAAATAGGAAACCCTAATTGGGTTGTACCCCCTATGGGATACCCCACTATAGCCTACACAAATGAGTAAGCTATATGTTCTGACACACCGCAGAGTAGGGGAGGTCTTCGGTAAGGAGACTCGGGGCTGAAGGTTGATCTGATGCGCCGGGAACTGAACTGCGAACGGCCACAGAAAATGGGGAGCAGCCGCATGAATCATGGACGTACGAGCGACGTCCATGACCATGCCAATGCGGCGCTCAGCAATCCCATTTTGCTGTGGAGAGGCCAGAAGCGTGAACGTCTGGCGATTGCCCTGTGCACGACAGAAGGCTCCCAGAAGGTAAAGGAAAAACTCTCCGCCCTCTGTCAGAGTGCAGACGCAGAACAGGAAAGTCCGAGCCGAAACTCTCTCTGAGCTGGAGACGAGCTGCGCAGATCCAGTCGATCAACACCTCAGTGACGTCACCCTTGCTGCGCAAGGGGAAGGCTGAGGTGTAATGCGAGTAGTCGTCAACCACCAACAGGAAGTAACGCTCTTGACCCAGGCCACGGACGCGGGCGGGGCCCCACACGTCCATGTGAAGAGTCTGCAGCGGAGCCTTGGTCGGAGGAAACTCTGAGGAGTGGGGAGCGGCGCGCTGCCGCCCCTCGACGCAGGGAACGTAGGTACGGGCAGGCCCCGGAGGGAGGGGAGGGAGGGACCGGGGGAGACCACAGACAAGGTAAAAGGAGGCCATACCTCGGAGACGAGGCAGGGAGGGGTGACCAAGGCAGCGGTGCTAGAGGAGGGTCCAGTGGGACAGGAGACGGCACGAGCAGGGAGCAGACTCAGGACCAGACCTGGACGCTGCAGGAAGCACCTGACCCAACGCAGCTACCTGACCAGACTCAGCAATCGGAGGAGACTCAGTAGTCAGTGTGTACAGGCTCGATCCTGGCTGACGGGTAAACGTGGCCAAGTGTCGGCCCATCCGAGCACACGTACACTGGGTCACCCGCTGACTCGCAGGAGCGAACTGGTCAACCCCCACATCCTGTAGATCAGCACTACTCACCAAGTTCGTAGAGAACGAGGGGAGGTAGAGACCTGACAGGGTGCCAGAAGGGGCCGCCGAACACGGTAAGACAATGGAGAAGTGGGCAAGGACAGGACCCCCAGAGGGGTCCGCCAGGGAAACCGCAACTGGCCGACTAAGCGGCGTGAGTGTGGTGCGGTCTCAAAAGAAGGAGCGGGAAGCACCCGAGTCAAGGGGGAAGGTGTGCAAGGCCGAAGCCGACGTGGGGCTGAGAGAGCAGACTCACCAGCACCTGGGGCAGCAGACGCACTAGCACCTAGAGCTGCAGCCTCACCAGCATCTAGAGCAGCAGCCTCATTGCCCGGGTCAGGCGGCACACACAGGTAACAGTCACCCTCATCACTAGTAGACACAACATACATGGCAGCAAGAATAGCATCATAATCCAGATCAAAAATAGCAACCCCCAACCTAAACAGCTCGCCCCAGCGGGGGATCTTAGCTGCTACTGCTGGACTGACCACCACCGAAGCCGCCTCGCTGCGCAGAGCCACCTCGAGCAGCTCCACCTTCGCCGCCGCCACCTCCGCCACCGCCGCCACCGCCTCCTCCTCCGCTCCCACCGCCACTACCGCCGCCGCCTCCGCCTCCACCGCCGCCACCAAAGCCTCAACCCCTGCCATCACTCCCACCGCCACCCCCACTCCCTTCGCCGCCTCCACCGCCACCTCCACCGCCCCCGCCAGCCCCTCCAGCGCCCTTGCCCCCCTTGCTCTTGCCGGTGCGGGGTCTCCCGCTAGGGGCAAACGCAGCGCCGTCCGACTCGGTGCCAACGAAGTCGACGGCAGCAGAGGAGGCAACAGAGGGCAAAAGTGGGGAGGGGGAGCACCCCTCAAAGAAGGGGGTACGAGGGTCACGACGAGAGGCTCCTACAGCGACTATACTCTTCTCAGCTGCCAGGAGGCGCTCCTCGAGGAGGTCAACGGTGAGTGTGGTGGGGCAAACAGACAGGAAATGGTCCTTGACCGAGCGAAGGGAGTCAGGGAGCCGGGTGACTATGTAGTAGAGGGTGATGTACATAAGGGGGGGGGGGGGGGGGGTCTTGGCGCAGAACTCAGCAGGAAGCGCAGCGCGGTAGCGGGTGTCACTAGTGCGAAGGTGGCAGGGGAAGAGTAGCATGAAACTACAGCGTCGTACAAGGTCTTAGCACTCTTGTATTGACTAAAGTGCGTGTGCTCAGTGGACGGCAAGTGACTACGCACAGCAAGACGGGCAGCAGCATCGCGTGTGGCCCACTGGGAGCGAACAGTGCTGTCAGCATCGGCAGTAAGGGCAGGAGAGGCGCCAGACGTGAGATCGAACAGTGAGAGACTGTCTTTCTTATCACACTGCAGGAACAGTTCCAGATCATCGACCCCGACATCAAAGTCAACAGCCCGACCCTTAGCATCAAAGGTGAGAACGCTATGGGTAGCCATGACAGCAGCAGCAGTCGGCTAGTAGCAGTAGCAGCAGGTGCGGCTCGGCGGTGCTCTTACCAGGGCGGGTAGGTAGAGGCCCGCAAGTGGTTGGGCAGGGCCGAGGCGCGTCGGCAGGGACACGGGCGCGACTGCGGCGGCGGCTCCTGCTGTCGGCGGTGGCGGCAATTGCGGCCCCGGCAGCGGCGGCGGCGGCGGTCACGGCAGCAGCGGCTGCGGCGGCTGCGGCCACGGCAGTGGCGGCGGCGGCTGTCATGGCAGCGGCGGCGGCGGCTGCTGCTGACGGTGGCGGCTGCTGCTGTCGGCCGCGGCCGCTGCTGTCGGTGGCAGCTGCTGCTGTCGGCTGCTGCTGTCGGCGGCGACGAGTGCTGCTGTTAGCGGCTGCTGCTGTTCGTGGGGAGCCAAGAAGGGGCTGCTAAGGGCGGCGAAGGGGCCACAAAGGGCCGTGAAATGGCCGCGAAGGGCGGTGACGGGGCCGAGACGGACCGTGAGGGGCCTCGAAGGGCGGCGACGGGGCCGAGAAGGGCGGCGACGGGGCCGCGAAGGGCGGCGACGGGGCTGCAAAGGGGCCGCGAGGGGCCACGAAGGGGCCGCGATGGGCCTGAAGGGGCCGCGAAGGGCCGTGAGAGGGGCCGCGAGGGGCCGTGAGAGGGGCGCTACGAGGCCGTAAGAGAGCGCGACGGGCCGCTAAGGGCAGGGGATGTGACGGGAGGGCAGGCACACGGGGCGCAACTCGGGCAGGTACGAAGCGCGCTCCGAGCAGGAAAAAAAAAATCGATTTTTGGTGGGCCCTAGGAAACGTTCCCACTAGGGAACCTGCTCTATACCATGTGAAAGAACAAGGAATGATTGACTAAGGAATGAGTGTGATACAAATATGAAACCCTAGAATTGTGTATCCCTTAGTATCTAGCCCGCTACAGCCTACGCATGCTAGATCATATAAGTCTGACAGATTGCACACGCAGACTCATGAGCAATCGTGAAGATCCGCGAACTTACCGAAACTCAGGAACTTTCATGCGCTTTCACGGAAACTCATGAACATTCATGAACATTCATGAAATGCACCCACACACAAAAATGCATGTAACTTATGAACCGCTAAGGCGATTCACAAACCGTAAACGCACAAATGTAAAGCACGCAAAGGCGCTCCTCACACTCCACAAATTACCTTAAAACAACAACTCTCATTTTCTTTTATCGTCGGCGAATAGGCGGAATGTTGACATGCAAGCCACATTTTGCACTCAAGAAACTCCCCCTCAACCTGCCGACTATTCGAATCCACAACCATCATCAATGGATCCGACAATTCTCTTCACTTCTTCCATCATTGGCATAGGAACGATATCATCCTCGCCAAACTGCTCCCCATCGACCGGCCTCACCTTGTTGCCGATCCCAACTCCAGTTTTTTGGGAAGGCACTCCTATTTTTCCCCACAATCACAGCTTGCTTCAAAATCGGCTTCACTTGGATTCTCCTTTCACTTTAAACTCATCAGTTACAAAGCTTGCAAAGTTCCGCAACATTGTCTTCTCCTTAGCAGCTTCAACCCTTGGTGGCACCATCCCATGAAGTTTCTGCTGCTTACGAGTGTCATCCTTGTGCACTCCCTTTTCCTTGTGCACAGCATCGACCTTGCCGTTACTCCCCCTAGTCCCAGCACCATTCTTCTCATCAGCCGCTGCTGCATTTCTCTTTTCAGCCGTTGCAAGTCGAGCCTTAACCTTGTGCAACTCTTGCACAAGCTTCTCCACGGTAACTTTCAGCTCCTTCACTTCCGCTGAAGCACTTGCAACACACTTCCCTTTGCAACCGCAGCTCCCATTCTCCTTTTCAAGTACCATCTCATGCCATGGCACACGGGAACATGCCACAACCCATTGTGCAGGTCCATGACTTCATGCAAGTCCCACAACACTCGATCACCAAGACTTCCCTTGAACGTTTCAGCTCCATTGGTGGCCGTGCACACACCTGCAAGTCCCATTTTTCTCAAGGAAATCAGGTTCCCCTTTAGCTCCGGCACCAAGAGCACGTCCTCCAAAACTATCGGCTTCCCATAAGTTCCTTTGAAGGCTGCCTTGCCGACTCCAAGCACATTCATCTTGTAACTGCATCCTGAGTTCATCTCAGTGATGCTCGTCTTCCCAACCTTGTCTAGCAGGTCCGCCCTTGGGGTCATGTGATAAGCCGCTCTGGAGTCAAGAATCCATGTGTTGAGAGGATGAGGCACTGCTCCCTCCTTGGCAGGTGCATTCTCACTCCCCTCGTTCCCTTGCACGTGGAAAAACTGTCCCGGTGCTCTCTCCCAATCATCTCCCTCGTCACTTGCGGTCTCTGCTACATACCCAACTCCATGAGGTTGGTTCCTATCTCCGTCATTGTCTCCTTGTCCGGGGGTCCACCATTTCAGACGTTTCCAGCACTTCACCCAAGTGTGCCCCGGCTTCTTGCAGTACCAACAAGCTCCCTTGAGCTTGTGGTAGTCATCACGATCATCCTCGGTATCATCATCTTCTTCTTCACCACACTTGTTGCTCGGCTTCTTATCATCACGCCTGCTTCTATAACGCCCGCGCTCACCTTCATCCCGACCTTTTCCCTTACGCCATCCGCTGCCTTGCACCCCGTAGCCACCGTCACCATCGTCACCGTGACTCAGCTGCCTCCTCCAAAAGTCTTCCTACAAGATCTTGGTTCGCACCCACTCAAGCGTCCATGATTCCTGGTTTTGATGCAGGCTTAACCCACTTGTGAACGGCATCCAAGTCCCGGGTAGCAGCGAGAACATTCGTAGGCGCTTCGTCTTCTCCGGGTAGGTAATGCCCGCAATTTGGAGCTTAGCGTATAGCCTCCTCATCTTCTCAAGGGCCAGCTGAATCGGCTCCCCTTCACTCAGGCGCAATGAAGCCAACTCACGCTCCAACGTGAGCGTAGCAACCACCGAGGTTGGGGCGTGCAGCTCCTTCAGTACTTTCCAAGCTCGTGGCCCATTATCAGCTTCCCCCAGCAGATGCATCACATGTGCTCTCTGGTTGAGCTCCAACGTCTGCGATAGGAGGCAGTATCCGGCTGATGCACGCTCGTCCCACTCCCCTTGCAGGACTGGGTCGGTCGGCCTCTCCTCCTCGCCAATCATTATCTTCAACAACCCAACTTGACGGAAGTACAGCTGCATTTTCCACACCCAATCGTCGTACCCATTGCCGTAGAACTTGTCGACGGTGAAGTTCTTAAGCACCTCTCTCAATAGTGAGCCTTGGCTGGTCCGCACTCCCCTTGGTGCTAAACCTCGAGTATCTTGGCTTCCACTATTAGCACGTGCAAGTGAACCTTCCGTTCCGCCCGACTCCATGGTGTTCTAACGGCAAGAAGTCAAAAAAGGACTAAGAACCAGCTCTGATACCACATGTTGACTACTAATTGGGACCTAGAAGCTCTAAGCACACCTTTAATCAACGCTAGATAGTCCTCACGGGGTCACCTCCAAGGGTCCTTGGGTGCCTGGTAGAACCAGCCCCTATCCAAGGGTCCGTGTTTGTTGAAGGACTTTTCAAGCGTAAAAACAATCGTGTGCACTGGAGCACTCCCAAGCACAATTGCGAAAGCAATAACGACTGATTGGCTGGTATGCAGAAATTTCTCCTCGCGTCAATACGTTGATAGAGAAAATGTTCACTCCAAAAAGTTGATTACAATGAAACACAAGCACATATTTATAGAACTACTAATGCACGAGCAAAGCAAACACAAGGCAAGCATTTAACAGTTATAAAACTGTAATATAAGACTTCGCCATGTTGTCTTGGAAAAACGTTGTCAAACTTCAGCTGCATTTGGCTTGATCCGCTTTATTGGAAAAACCGTTTCAAATGGCACTTCATCCAAACGCCCCTGCTGACTCCCCTCGCGAGCACTCATGAATTCCCGTTAACAATCATGAAGCCTCCTGTGAGAAAACCGTTTTCCTGTTGCAAAACGGAATTTACCGTTTTGTACCCGCTAGGCGCGCGACTTTCCAGTGAAGTATCTTGTTCGCCACGTCACAAAAGTCAAAGCTCGAGATTCAGTTATTCAACTGAAATCTCGATTCAATCCTGAGCACCCTTCAGGATTCCTCGGCACCCCCCGAAAACCAAGCGCACCCCTCCACGCGCGTAATCATGCACGACCGAATTTTCGGTCGTGCTGTACAGCGCACGAACGTGCGCTGTACTGCTCAAGGGCAGGGCAATCATTGTGAGAATGAAACGAGGAATGATTGAACTGAGCAGCATGAGAAGTACAAGTACCAAACCCTAAAGTGTTGTACCCCATATGAGCTACCCCACTACAGCCTAAATAGACTATAGTGTATGAGTTTGACACACCCCCATAGGCAAAGTGGGGGAGAGCAAGGGGTCACAACACCAGTCAAGCAAAGGAAGGCAAAGCAAGCTCAGGGTGGATCACAACGTCACCACACATTCTGAGCACAAGTTCAAGGCCACAAGGCCAGTTCACATGCAAGATTACATATATATAAGGCTAAACAAGCAAGAGCAGGTATATATATATATGTAACAGTACAAACAAGGTCAAGAAGTAAGCAAGAGAGGCAAGGTAGGCACAAGGCCTAGCTGAGTACAGAATCGCTGATGATCACAAGGCGCGAGTGCCTTGGTGATATCAGCAGTGTTGGCCTGAGAGGCCACGTAGGCAAGTCGCAGCTGACCACGCTGCTGTAGCTCACGAGCTAAGAAGTAGCGAAGAGCAATGTGCTTCGTTCTGTGCTCCAGTCTCTGCTCCTGTGCAGCCATGGCCCCTGCGTAGATCTCAGCCTCACAACTGGAGCCGAGAACAGAAGACAAGCGGGTAACCCGCCACGAAACAGAGCCGGAACTAAGGCTGAAGGTGTAACCCTATGACGACCGCTGCGTAGCCTGGTCGTCAGCCCAAGAAGCGTCTGCGTGCCCAGTGAGGACCACTGGACTCTGCCCTCCAAGCAC